AAGTACACTAATGAGCTTCCTAGGCTAGCAACCTATGGATACTATTAGTCTAAAGACAAAAAAATCAAGTAACAGCTCTTATAAGTACACTAAAGAGCTTCCTAGACTAGCAACCTATGGATACTATTAGTCTAAAGACAAAAAAATCAAGTAACAGCTCTTATAAGTACACTAATGGACTTACTAGACTAGCAATCTATGTATACCATTAGTCTAAAAACAAAACAAAATCAAGTGACAGCTCTTGTGAATACACTAATGGGTTTCTTAAACTAGCAACCTAGGGATACTATCAGTCCAGAAACAAAACCAAGTAACAGCTCTTATAAGTACACTAATGAGCTTCCTAACTAGCAACCTATGGACACTATTAGTCCAAAAACAAAACCAAATCATGTAACAGCTCTTATAAGTACACTAATGGGCTTCCTAGACTAGCAATCTAAGGATACTATTAGTCCAGAAACAAAACCAAGTAACAGCTCTTATAAGTACACTAATGGGCTTCCTAGACTAGAAATCTATGGATACCATTAGTCTAAAAACAAAACCAAATCATGTAACAGCTCTTATAAGTACACTAATGAGCTTCCTAAACTAGCAACCTATGTATACCATTAGTCCAAAAACAAAACCAAATCAAGTAACAGCTCTTATGAATACCCTAATGGGTTTTCTAAACTAGCAACCTATGGATACTATTAGTCCAAAAACAAAACCAAGTAACAGCTCTTATAAGTACACTAATGAGCTTCCTAGACTAGCAACCTAGGGATATTATCAGTCCAGAAACAAAACCAAGTAACAGCTCTTATAAGTACACTAATGGGCTTCCTAGACTAGAAATCTATGGATACCATTAGTCTAAAAACAAAACCAAATCATGTAACAGCTCTTATAAGTACACTAATAGGCTTACTAGACTAGCAACCTGTGGATAATATTAGTCTAAAAACAAAACAAAATCAAGTAACAGCTCTTATACGTACACTGATGGGCTTCCTAGACTAGCAACCTATGGATACCATTAGTCTAAAAACAAAACCAAATGATGTAACAGCTCTTATAAGTACACTAATGGGATTTTTATTGTATTTAACCAGTGAAATATGACATCCAGTTTATAAAATTGCACACATAAAATATTCTAGTTTTTAACACAATAATATGTGTATCTAATATCTGTAAATTCATTTTATACGTGATACAAAACAATTTCTTTAAGATGGATATTTATCTTAATAAATGCTGGTAAACATGTTCTAACCTTTTCTGTGAAGTAAGTGTTATTTGTATTTGTTCATTGTATATATATATAATTATTAGGAAGTGACCACATCACAAGTGTAACGACTGTTATGATGCAGTACAGTGGGATAGGTGTAAAGAAACAACACTTGATGTTTTGTAAGAATACAAATTGTCTAAGAATGATGTTACAGTATATGCTAAACAATTAATAAAAATGTAATTTTGTCCAAAATATGATTCTTTATATGTAGATTTATATAGTAAGTAGTTTGCTTTAAGACAGTAAGCAAATTTAAAACCATCCTGCCTTATCAAACACAACCATGGACATAGAAATATATGTATAATCATACAAAATAAACCTTAAACTAAGGGAGACCACTTCCAATATTACTTTCTTTGCTTGAACAAGTGCAACAATTATGCCAGAAGTACATAGTGTCTATGACATTTCTATTAATTTGTAGGATGTTGGAGAAAATTGTCTATTAGCTAAGAAGCATGAATTTGATCAGATCTGATATTTTTTCAATTCTTTGTGCTTAGCAACTTTAGTTATTAACACAGCACAAACTTGTCATGAAAAATAATAATACCTAATCTTATTGTATGGACCTAAAGAGTTACACTTGGATTTAAGACTTGTATATAGTTAGGAATGTTAGCTTAAAGTTAAGTACTTATTAACTACTACCTGGAATACCCATCCCCTGGTTGCATATTATATAAATTCATGATGAACGAAAGGTTATCTTAGTTGCTTCCCTTATATGCTATTGTAAAAAAAAACATTAACGGCCATAAAAACTGCAAAACAAAATGTGAAACCATAAATTTGCAAGTATTTCCCCCATAGACCCAACAAACCTTCATGCCAAATTTGGTGAAGATCCATCAACAGGGGGCAAAGTAGCAATTAAAAAGAAGAAAAAAAAATGCCAATAAAAACTGCAAACACAAATTTGTATGTATCTCCCCATGGACCTAATGAAAATGTACATACCGATTTTGGTGAAGATCCATAATTGGTCCTTTGAAGTAGTTACATGGACATACAATAGACAGTACTATTATATTTATATGGAAGTAGTTAGATGGACATACAATAGACAGTATTATTATATTTATATGGAAGTAGTTAGATGGACATACAATAGACAGTATTATTATATTT